TCGTGGACCAGGCCCAAATTTGGGCCCAAACTTCGTGGACCAGGCCCAAATTTGGGCCCAAACTTCGTGGACCAGGCCCAAATTTGGGCCCAAACTTCGTGGACCAGGCCCAAAATCCAATTTCTTTATCACATAGTAATTTAAACCTTAATGTTTCAGGCCCAAATTTGGGCCCAAACTTCGTGGACCAGGCCCAAATTTGTGCCCAAACTTCGTGGACCAGGCCCAAATTTGGGCCCAAACTTCGTGGACCAGGCCCAAATTTGGGCCCAAACTTCGTGGACCAGGCCCAAAATCCACGAATCCAGGCCCAAAATCCACGAATCCAGGCCCAAAATCCACGAATCCAGGCCCAAAATCCACGAATCCAGGCCCAAATCCAGGATCCACGAATCCCAGGCCCAAAATCCACGAATCCAGGCCCAAAATCCACGAATCCCAGGCCCAAAATCCACGAATCCTGCCGGGCAGAGCTTTGAAGGATCTAGGGTGGGTTGGGGAGTTGCACTGGACAAAGCTTGGAAGCATCCAAAGGGTGGCTTGTGGGAAGTTGCATTCGCACACCCTTCCTGCGGTAAAGGGTCTTCAAGGGGAGCCGCGGGAGGGCCATAGATGGACAGGGTAGGTCAAACTATGTCCGCAAACCCACTTTTGAGCCCACCTGAAGGCTTACAGTATCCCCATGAACTGTGTCAGATTGATTCTGCATTCTGCGACCCTTCATGCGGAAACTGGTGTTCAAGGGGAGCCGCGGGAGGGCAATAGATGGACAGGGGAGGTCAAACTATGTCCGCAAACCCACTCCCGAGCTTACCCTTTTGATTGCAGGGTCCGCGTGAACTGTTGTAGGGTTGATTCTGCGTTGGCCCCGCGGGCCCTTTGAAACACCAAATTTTTGGTTTGAAAGGGTATCTTCGGGAAGGGCGCAAACAAACAGAGGAGCTCAAATGACGTAGGCTCGTCCGGTCGAGGGCCCGCGGGGTGTGACACAGTGCTCCGCTGAAGGGTGTCGCCTTGATTCTGCGAAGGGCGGCGTTTTGATTCTGCGTGGTTGTGGCTTGGATGGCTGTGACTTCGTTTCGGAACGTATGTAAGCCGTCGAAGAACTTCAAATGATGTAGAGTTCGTTAGTTGACGTCGATTAAGAAGCGATATGGATCGATGTTGTACACATGTCATGATGTGTAGCACAAGAAGCTTCTTTGTCGTCGAAAGCAGTCATCGTGGAAGCCTTTGAAAATTCTTGCAATTTTCAAAAAAAAAAAAAGCGTTTTGCGACATGCCGCAGACGAGCCTGGCGACATGTAAGCAGCGGCCTGGAGCAGCCCGAGGCCGAAGGCTGCCTCTGACCCCCTGGAGCCCCGGAGCCGGCTTCGGCCTCTGACCCCCCAACAACGCGCGCGCGCGCGCGAAAAGGTCTTTGGAGGCCTGGCGGTGAAGGGTTTCAGCTGAACGGTCATCGCAAAGAAACTTGATATGATAGCGGTGGTTGCTATCGTAAAACGATGGCGTGACCGCAGCTACTGTGGGAGGCAATGTTGTCAGGCAGTGGACACAGTCCGATGTGGAAACATTGAAATCGAATTCGATAGCTGTTCTAGGTGAGGAGATTCGAGTCATGACACTTGACAGCTATGATTGCTATCGTAAAGCGATGGCGTGACCGCAGCTTCGGCGGGTTAGGGCGATCTTGTGTTTCTTAACTAGCTCTCTTAGAAAGCTGGATAGCTGTGGTTGCTAGTTGAGGAGATTCAAGTCATGACACTTGACAGCTATGGTTGCTATCGTAAAGCGATGGCGTGACCGCAGCTTCGGCTGGTTAGGGCGATGTTGCGTTTCTTAACTAGCTCTCTTAGAAAGCTGGTCGGCAGCATTAACTCTTAAAGTGAAGCGTGTTGCAAGAACGACTGTAAAGAAACAGCACTTGCTTGATCGAAGGAGTGGAAAGTTACGATCTGTAATAGTTGTATGGTTTAGGGTTTAGGGTTTAGCGTTCAGCAACTCTAATCTTTCAGCTGGTTGTGTTGACACCATAAGCAAATTAGGGTTTAGCGACAACAGCAACTGGAAGCGTCTGAAGAGAATGTCGACGGAGACCGAACAACAACATTCTCGTGCTGGCCTTCAACCAAGCAGTAGTTGAGTTTAGGGCCTAGGGTTTAACTATAACATCATAGTCATAGAGGTGTGTGAAGCTAAGTTGTAGATAGGTGCTTCGAAGGATGAAAAAAAACCCTCTATTTTCTTAATGTTATGGGATTCTGAGGGTGGGTGGGCGTTATTCTTAAACCATAGACACAACACTACTTTAAAACTGCTCGACCCGGAGCTGCTGAACCCTAAACCCTAAACCCTAAACCTTAAACCCTAAACCCTAAACCCTAAACCCTAAACCCTAAACCCTAAACCCTAAACCCTAAACCCTAAACCCTTAAACCCTAAACCCTAAACCCTCAAGAGCAGGATAAATAGAAATTGTGTGATTTTCGTTTCGATCTGCAGTTGCAATAGTTTCAAATTTTCGCTAAACGTGTCCAACCAAATCCAGCGGACAAGGCGGGAAGGCTTATCCTCAACCGGTATGGGGTTCCGAGGTGTGGGAGCTCAAGCCGAAGAAGACAGAGGCAAGGACAATCCAGGGTATGGAAGCTTGAGCCTAAACCAATGTGGGTTGCCGAGGTGTGTGGTCTCAGCGACAAGGCTGAGAGGGCTTATCCGGAGAGCTTTTCCTCAAACAAAACAGGAACCTGAAGGTATGCAGTTCAGGAGCTAGCCGACCTTCCCCCTCCCCCTCCCTCCCCCTCCCATGCCCTATTGACGGCCTGCCTTAGGGTGGCAACGAATTCTCAGGGAAGGTAGTGGCAGAAATCAATGGGGTGCGGGGTCTCCCCCCCGCCCCCCCTCCCCCGCCCTCCCCCCCCCCCTCCTGGGCCCGGAGGGTAGTGGGCAGACACCAAAACACAATCCTCAACTGAAATGGGGCGTTGGTTCCCGCCCCTCCCCGCCCCCCTCCCCCACCCTCCCCCCCTCCCTCCCCCTCCCCACCCGGTGCTTCCTCCGGAGGGTGGCACGAGTCTCACGGGGGGTATTGGGCAGACGTGTGGGGCTCCCCCGCACCCCTCCCCACCGTCCCCCCTCCCTCCCCCCCCCACCCGGTGCCCCCCTCCGGAGGGTCCCCCCCCTCCCTCCCCCCCTTCCCTCCCCCGCTCCCTTCCCTCCCCCTCGCTCTGCCCCTCCCACCCCCCCCAAACCCGCTCACTTAGACCGCAACCAGCGTGGAGTGCCAGGTGCGTATCCTCAAGAAGAAAAAGGCCGGGAGCGGGAACGAAGCCATGCAGGCTCGCCTGCATGGTGTCCCAGGTACGTGGTCCCAACCCCAAGAAGACCGAAGTGAGGAGGTGAGCGCTGATTATCCTCAACCAATGTGGGGTCCCAGGTGCGTGGTCTCATCGAAGAAGGCGGAGGCAGGGACGAGGCCGGAGCACTTATCCTCACCCAATATGGGGTCCCAGGTGCGTGGTCTCAGCCCGAAGAAGGCGACGAGGCCGGAGCGCTTTTCCTCAACCAATATGTTCCGGGCGCGTGCTCGGAGGCGGGAGCGCTTATCCTCAACCAATATGGGGTCCCAGGTGCGTGCTCTCGCGGACCAGGCCGGCGCAATATGGGGTTCCAGGCGCGTGGTCTCAGCACGAAGAAGGCGGAGGCGGGGACGAGGCCGGAGCTGGGGTCCCAGGTGCGTGCTCGGCAGGGACGAGGCCGGAGCGCTTATCCTCAACCAATATGGGGTCCCAGGTGCGAAAGCGGAGGCGGTGACGAGGCCGGAGCGCTTATCCTCGACCAACGTGGAGTCCCAGGTACGCGATCTCGGCCCGAAGAAGGTGAAGGTGGGGACGAGGGCGGAGCACTTATCCTCAACCGATATGGGGTCCTAGGTGCGCGCCCTACCGCAGCATGCATCAGTGCCAGGTGCTTGAAGCCAGAAGAAGGCGAGCTTCAAGAGGAGGCGACAACAAGCTCGAAGGACCTACTCTCAGAATACGTTCTCGGCGCGTGGTCTCAACCTGAAGAAGACAGAGGCGGCGACAAGGCCGGATCGCCTATCCTCAACTGTCATGGGTTCCCAGGATCGTGGTCTGGAGAGAACAGAAGCCGAGACCAGGCCGGAGTGCCTATCCTCAATCAATATGGGGTCCCAGGTGCGCGGTCTCAACTTGAAGAGGATGGAGGCGGGAACCAGGCCGGAGCACTTCTCCTCAACCAATATCGGGTCCGAGGTGCGTGGTCTCAACTCGAACAGGACGGAGGCGAGGAGAGGCCGGAGTGCCTATCCTCAACCCAGATAGGGTCCCAGGTGCATGGTTTCATCTTGGAGAAAAGAGAAAGGACGAGGCCTCAACCAATATGAGGTCCGAGGTGCGTGACCCCAGCAAAAAGACGACGGAGGCAAGGACAAGGCCGGGGGTCGAAGTGCGTGGCCCCAGGAAGCTCAAGCTGAAGAAGACAGAGGTAAGAACGAGGCCGGGAGGGCTTATCCTCAACCAATATAAGTTTCCGAGGCAAGGACAAGGCCGGGAGGGCCCATCCTCAACCAACATGGGGTTCCGAGGTGTGGAAGTTCAAGCTGAAGAAGACACAGGTAGGGACAAGGCCGGGGGGGGGGCTCATCCTCAACCAGTATGGGTTTCCGAGGCGTGGAAGCTCAAGCTGAAGAAAGGCAAGGACAAGGCCGGGAGGGTGTATCATCAACCAATATGGGTTTCCAAGACGTGGGGTCTCAAGCTGCAGAAGCGCAACGACAAGGCCGGGAGGGTTTATCCTCAACTAGTACAGGTTTCCGAGGCGTGGAAGCTCACAAGTCGAAGAAGACAGAGGCAAGGATAAGGCCGGGAGGGTTTATACTCAACCGATGTGGGTTTCCGGGGTATGGAAGCTCCAGCCGAAGAAGACAGGGGCAGAGACAAGGCGGGAAGGCTTATCCTCAACCGGTATGGGGTTCCGAGGTGTGGAAGCTCAAGCCGAAGAAGACAGAGGCAAGGACAATCCAGGGTATGGAAGCTTGAGCCTCAACCAATGTGGGTTGCCGAGGTGTGTGGTCTAAGCGACAAGGCTGAGAGGGCTTATCCGGAGAGCTTTTCCTCAAACAAAACAGGAACCTGAAGGTATGCAGTTCAGGAGCTAGCCGACCTTCCCCCTCCCCCTCCCTCCCCCTCCCATGCCCTATTGACGGCCTCCCTTCCCGGAATGGCACGAATTCTCAGGGAAGGTAGTGGCAGAAATCAATGGGGTGCGGGGTCTCCCCCCCGCCCCCCCTCCCCCGCCCTCCCCCCCCCCTCCTGGGCCGGGAGGGTAGTGGGCAGACACCAAAAGACAATCCTCAACTAAAATGGGGCGTTGGTTCCCGCCCCTCCCCGCCCCCCTCCCCCACCCTCCCCCCCTCCCTCCCCCTCCCCACCCGGTGCCTCCTCCGGAGGGTGGCACGAGTCTAAGGGGGGGTAGTGGGCAGACACCAAAAAACAATCCTCAACTAAAATGGGGTGTGGGGCTCCCCCCCACCTCCCTCCCCCCCCCACCCGGTGCCCCCCTCCGGAGGGTCCCCCCCCTCCCTCCCCCCCTTCCCTCCCCCGCTCCCTTCCCCCCCCCTCGCTCTGCCCCTCCCACCCCCCTCCCAAACCCGCTCACTTAGACCGCAACCAGCGTGGAGTGCCAGGTGCGTATCCTCAAGAAAAGAAGAAGGCCGGGAGCGGGAACGAAGCCGTGCAGGCTCGCCTGCATGGTGTCCCAGGTACGTGGTCCCAACCCCAAGAAGACCGAAGTGAGGAGGTGAGCGCTGATTATCCTCAACCAATGTTTCAGGTGCGTGGTCTCAGTCGAAGAAGGCGGAGGCAGGGACGAGGCCGGAGCACTTATCCTCACCCAATATGGGGTCCCAGGTGCGTGGTCTCAGCCCGAAGAAGGCGACGAGGCCGGAGCGCTTTTCCTCAACCAATATGTTCCAGGCGTGCTCGGAGGCGGGAGCGCTTATCCTCAACCAATATGGGGTCCCAGGTGCGTGCTCTCGCGGACCAGGCCGGCGCAATATGGGGTTCCAGGCGCGTGGGCTCAGCCCGAAGAAGGCGGAGGCGGGGACGAGGCCGGAGCTGGGGTCCCAGGTGCGTGCTCGGCAGGGACGAGGCCGGAGCGCTTATCCTCAACCACTATGGGGTCCCAGGTGCGAAAGCGGAGGCGGGGACGAGGCCGGAGCGCTTATCCTCGACCAACGTGGAGTCCCAGGTACGCGATCTCGGCCCGAAGAAGGTGAAGGTGGGGACGAGGGCGTAGCACTTATCCTCAACCGATATGGGGTCCTAGGTGCGTGCCCTACCGCAGCGTGCATCAGTGCCAGGTGCTTGAAGCCAGAAGAAGGCGAGCTTCAAGAGGAGGCGACAACAAGCTCGAAGGACTTACTCTCAGAATACGTTCCCGGCGCGTGGTCTCAACCTGAAGAAGACAGAGGCGGCGACAAGGCCGGATCGCCTATCCTCAACTGTCATGGGTTCCCAGGTTCGTGGTCTGGAGAGAACAGAAGCCGAGACCAGGCCGGAGTGCCTATCCTCAATCAATATGGGGTCCCAGGTGCGCGGTCTCAACTGGAAGAGGATGGAGGCGGGAACCAGGCCGGAGCACTTCTCCTCAACCAATATCGGGTCCGAGGTGCGTGGTCTCAACTCGAACAGGACGGAGGCGAGGAGAGGCCGGAGTGCCTATCCTCAACCAAGATAGGGTCCCAGGTGCATGGTTTCATCTGGGAGAAAAGAGAAAGGACGAGGCCTCAACCAATATGAGGTCCGAGGTGCGTGACCCCAGCAAAAAGACGACGGAGGCAAGGACAAGGCCGGGGGTCGAAGTGCGTGGCCCCAGGAAGCTCAAGCTGAAGAAGACAGAGGTAAGAACGAGGCCGGGAGGGCTTATCCTCAACCAATATAAGTTTCCGAGGCAAGGACAAGGCCGGGAAGGCCCATCCTCAACCAACATGGGGTTCCGAGGTGTGGAAGTTCAAGCTGAAGAAGACACAGGTAGGGACAAGGCCGGGGGGGGGGCTCATCCTCAACCAGTATGGGTTTCCGAGGCGTGGAAGCTCAAGCTGAAGAAAGGCAAGGACAAGGCCGGGAGGGTGTATCATCAACCAATATGGGTTTCCAAGACGTGGGGTCTCAAGCTGCAGAAGCGCAACGACAAGGCCGGGAGGGTTTATCCTCAACTAGTACGGGTTTCCGAGGCGTGGAAGCTCACAAGTCGAAGAAGACAGAGGCAAGGATAAGGACGGGAGGGTTTATACTCAACCGATGTGGGTTTCCGGGGTATGGAAGCTCCAGCCGAAGAAGACAGAGGCAGAGACAAGGCGGGAAGGCTTATCCTCAACCGGTATGGGGTTCCGAGGTGTGGAAGCTCAAGCCGAAGAAGACAGAGCCAAGGACAATCCAAGGTATGGAAGCTTGAGCCTCAACCAATGTGGTTGCCGAGGTGTGTGGTCTCAGCGACAAGGCCGAGAGAACAATCCTCAACTAAAATGGGGTGTGGGGTCTTCCCCCCGCCCCCCCGCCCCCTGAGCGCCCTCCCCCCTCCTCCTGGGGCGGGAGGGTAGTGGGCAGACACCAAAAAACAATCCTCAACTGAAATGGGGTGTTGGTTCCCACCCCTCCCCGGCCCCCTCCCCCACCCTCCCCCCTTCCCTCCCCCTCCCCACCCGGTGCCTCCTCCGGGGGGGTGGCACGAGTCTCACGGGGGGGTAGTGGGCAATCCTCAACTAAAATGGGGTGTGTCCCCACCCTCCCCCCCCCCCTCCCCCCCACCCGGTGCCCCCTCCGGAGGGTCCCCCCGCTCCCTCCCCCCCTTCCCTCCCTCCCCTTCCCTCCCCCGAACCCCGCACCGCAAGGCAGTGACCTCCCCACCCTCCTCCCCTCCCAACCCGCTCACTTAGACCGCAACCAGCGTGGAGTGCCAGGTGCGTATCCTCAAGAAGAAGAAGGCCGGGAGCGGGAACGAAGCCGTGCAGGCTCGCCCCCAGGTACGTGGTCCCAACCCCAAGAGACCGAAGTGAGAGGTGAGCGCTGATTATCCTCAACCAATGTGGGGTTCCAGGTGCGTGGTCTCAGTCGAAGAAGGCGGAGGCAGGGACGAGGCCGGAGCACTCATCCTCAACCAATATGGGGTCCCAGGTGCGTGGTCTCAGCCCGAAGAAGGCGACGAGGCCGGAGCGCTTATCCTCAACCAATATGTTCCAGGCGCGTGCTCGGAGGCGGGAGCGCTTATCCTCAACCAATCTGGGGTCCCAGGTGCGTGCTCTCGCGGACCAGGCCGGCGCAATATGGGGTTCCAGGCGCGTGGTCTCAGCCCGAAGAAGGCGGAGGCGGGGACGAGGCCGGAGCTGGGGTCCCAGGTGCGTGCTCGGCAGGGACGAGGCCGGAGCGCTTATCCTCAACCAATATGGGGTCCCAGGTGCGAAAGCGGCGGCGGGGACGAGGCCGGAGCGCTTATCCTCGACCAACGTGGAGTCCCAGGTACGCGATCTCGGCCCGAAGAAGGTGAAGGTGGGGACGAGGGCGGAGCACTTATCCTCCACCGATATGGGGTCCTAGGTGCGCGCCCTACCGCAGCGTGCATCAGTGCCAGGTGCTTGAAGCCAGAAGAAGGCGAGCTTCAAGAGGAGGCGACAACAGGCTCGAAGGACGTACTCTCAGAATACGTTCTCGGCGCGTGGTCTCAACCTGAAGAAGACGGAGGCGGCGACAAGGCCGGATCGCCTATCCTCAACTGTCATGGGTTCCCAGGTTCGTGGTCTGGAGAAAACAGAAGCCGAGACCAGGCCGGAGTGCCTATCCTCAAGCAATATGGGGTCCCAGGTGCGCGGTCTCAACTTGAAGAGGATGGAGGCGGGAACCAGGCCGGAGCACTTGTCCTCAATCAATATCGGGTCCGAGGTGCGTGGTCTCAACTCGAACAGGACGGAGGCGAGGAGAGGCCGGAGCACCTATGCAAGGACAAGGCTGGGAGGGCCCATCCTCAACCAACATGGGGTTCCGAGGTGCGGAAGTTCAAGCTGAAGAAGACACAGGTAGGGACACGGCCGGGGGGGGGGGGCTCATCCTCAACCAGTATGGGTTTCCGAGGCGTGAAAGCTCAAGCTGAAGAAGACAGGGGCAGGGACAAGGCCGGGAGGGCTCATCCTCAACCAATATGGGGTTCCGAGGTGTGGAAGTTCAAGCTGAAGAAGACAGAGGCAGGGACAAGGCCGGGGGGGAGCCATCCTCAACCAATATGGGTTTCCGAGGCGTGGAAGCTCAAGCTGAAGAAGGGCAAGGACAAGGCCGGGAGGGTTTATCATCAACCAATATGGGTTTCCAAGACGTGGCGTCTCAAGCTGAAGAAGAATATCCTCAACCAATATGGGTGTGACAGCGCAGCTCCTACTTTGAGACTTTGAAATACGGCAGACCAGGGCAGGGCAGGGCAGCGCAGGGCAGGCCAGGCGGAGCAGGGGTTCTTGGTGGGGGGGTAGTGGGCAAGCACCACAAAAAACGACGTGCGCCCCCCAACCCACCCTCCTGACCCCCCCACCCCCGCTGCCCCCCTTCCACCGGGGGGGAGGCACACACCCTTATTCTCAACCTAAATGGGGGGTTTGCGGGTTGGTTCCCCTGACACCCGCCCACCCCCCCTGCCCCCCTTCCACCCCCCCTCTCCTGCCCCCACACGGGTAGAGGGGGGGAGGCACAACCCTTATTCCTAACCTAAGTGGGGGGTTTGAGGCGGCCTCCCCAACCCCCCACCCCCCACCCCCCACCCCCCTCCCCCCCAGCCCCTCCCCCCACGCCCCAACCTCCTACCTGCTGGCAAAACGCCTCAAAACCTTATCCTTAAGCAAGAAGGGTTCCCCAACCCCGCCCCACTCCCGCCCCCCTCCACCCACCCCCCACCCTCCTACCCGCCACCCCCCTACCTTCCCCCTTCAACCTGTCAGGCGCTCATCCTCAAGCAGAATGCGGGCAAGCCACGAAAGAGCCGCCACGTTTATCCTCAACCAGAAGAGGCCAGGGGGTACAGCCGCCACGCTTATCCGGTGCCAGGCGAAGAGGTGCAGCCGCCACGCTTATCCTCAACCAGAATGGGGGCCAGGGGAAAGAGGCGCAGCCGCCACGCTTATCCAGAATAGGGGGCAGGGGGTACAGCCACGCTTATCCGGTGCCAGGCGAAGAGGTGCAGCCGCCACGCTTATCCTCAACCAGAATGGGGGCCAGGGGGAAGAGGCGCAGCCGCCACGCTTATCCTCAACCAGCATAGGGGGCCAGGTGTTAGGCGAAGAGGTGCAGCCGCCACGCTTATCCTCAACTAGAATGGGGGCCAGGGGGAAGAGGTGCAGCCGCCACGCTTATCCTCAATCAGAATAGGGGTCAGGGGGTACAGCGGCCACTTATCCAGTGCCAGGCGAAGAGGTGCAGCCGCCACGCTTATCCTCAACCAGAATGGGGGCCAGGGAAAAGGCGCAGCCGCCACGCTTATCCTCAACCAGAATAGGGGTCAGGGGGTACAGCCGCCACGCTTATCCGGTGCCAGGCGAAGAGATGCAGCCGCCACGCCTATCCTCAACCAGAATGGGGGCCAGGGGGAAGAGGCGCAGCCGCCGCGCTTATCCTCAACCAGAATAGGGGCCAGGGCGAAGAGGCGCAGCCGCCACGCTTATCCTCAACCAGAATAGGGGCCAGGGGGTACAGCCGCCACGCTTATCCGGTGCCAGGCGAAGAGGTGCAGCCGCCACGCATATCCTCAACCAGAATGACGCTTATCCGGTGCCAGGCGAAGAGGTGCAGCCGCCACGCTTATCCTCAACCAGAATGGGGGCCAGGGGCAAAAAGGCGCAGCC